CCCCCCCCCCCCCCCCCCCAAGAGAGAAAGCTGCTATGTTGCTTTTAGTGTTGGTTTGTTTGTTTATGCCAACTCTTGCATAGGTATGTTAGTCTTTTGTGTATAAGAGAAAAAAACTGCAGTCTTAACAAATTAACCTTACTGTTTGCTGAACTTTTGGAAAAATATTTTCCCCCTCTCCTCAGCCTCCTACTGACTTGCATAGTTTGGTAATTTTCTCTTGGAACTGGAATAGAGGATTCTAACACCATTAGAACACTGGTGTTTCCCAGATGACAGTTAAATGAGTGCTTAGGACAATCTCCACTGGGGTAATTCTCTGCTTTACTGAGCATGTAGTCAGTAGGGCTGCCTTGCAATCTTAATAAGTCCCAGTGAGCTGCGATTATTATATTTATACGGCTTATTTGAAAAAAAGGAAAGAACTTTTTTGGTTGTCTTAAAAAGTTTTCCAAAGTTCATTTAGTAAATAAATAGAAAATGTAGTGATGGAACCTCTGGACCTGTGTTATACAGGAGGCCAGACTAGATGATCACAGTGGTCCTTTCTGGCTTTATAATCTGTGGATTTTGGTGTCCTGCCCCAATTTTAGCTTGGCTCCTTACAGTCTACATACCTAAAAATCCTTCTGTATTTTAATTTAGATATGGTATTCTTTACCACTGGTCCTAAATTGTTGTCTAGTGTTGCGGTATGCTATTCAACAGTTGCATACTGGGATCTTCCAAATAATGTACATTTTAAGATTGCCTTCTAGGGCTGGAAGGTGAATACTGTCTCCATGATTTTACTCTGGAAAAAAAAAAAGTATTTTCCTTGGACTTCAACTTCAGTACTGCCATAGATTCTTTATAGTCTGTAAAGGGTGAGAATTCATGGGAAGTATTTCTGCCTAGCTCTCCCTTTCTCTTTTGTAAACAGTTTTGGTTTTCTTCATTTCCCAACCCTCAAATGCAGTAGGTCTGATTTGTCTTTATTGCTAGTGAAATGATCCTATATTGTTTTTCAACTTTGGTACAGTGTTCAAAAGATTAAATAGTAACAGAATTTTTTTTGCCTTTTTAAGATTTTTATCCATTCTCCAACTACCTGTATTAAGATTGCTGAAGACAACACTAACACAGTCAGTAGTCCCATTAATATCTTTGTAAAAGCAGGGAACTTAGAGGTGCTCCAACCAGTAGCAGTAGGTAGGGTTTCTGTTCTTGGAACTATTGCCTCAAATTAAATACTGTTCAAAGAAGGTAGGAAGTCATCAATCAACAGCCCTTATTCTGTGTAGGCAATTAACAAGTTGCATTAATACAAAAAATCATGTTACCTAGAAACAGCCACACTCGGGAAGAAGGTGATAACCATAAAGATCAGCTGCTAGTTGTAATTTTTATTATTTTGCTTGTTGCTAATGATACTGAGAATCAACATTCAGTTTGTGGGAGGAGGGAAAATCATAAGTAGACTACTACTTTGGTGTTCTTAGGTCACTGGCTCCTGAAGGGAACAACACCACAGGCTTTCTTCAAATCTCTTCTGCTTTGTTTTCACTGATGGAGATTTCTGCACCAACTCGCTACCTCTGCATTCTTGCCTCACGTCCTAATTCTTTAATCCAGCTCACTTCACATTTTGAGAAGACATTTCCCTAGTTTAAGAGAAGATTGTGTCTTAATGATCTTATCAATTCACATAATGTGTCCTGGTTCAAAAGTTGGATAGAATTTTTCAAAAAATAGATAAAGCAGTCTTGGGACTAACAAGACATCTGCCAAACATAATTGCTCTATCACTCTGCTTTGATGTTGCTTGCCTTTTCTACTCCTTTGTCTAAATTTTGTGTTTAGATTGTAAGCTCTTCCTAGGCGTTTGCTTGCATAACTGTTAAGCGTCCTGTTCACTACTCTTTGTAGCTGCACTTCATAAATACATTTTAGAATTAATATTAACAGACCTCCAGTACAGACACGTCCAAAACATCTGAGATGATTTTTCTTTTATACGATTTAGATCAATAACCTGCATAATATATTGTACATTCCATTTAAGTTATTTCTTTCCTGCTATATGCAGTCTTTTCCCACTCATTAACCCAGTTAAGGAAAATATGTCCTCACTCTTTCCCTAGTTTAAAGAAGATTGTGTCTTAATGATCTTTCAACTCACATAATGTGCCCTGGTTCAGAAGTTGGTTAGAATTTTACAAAAACGTCTACCTTCAGATTGCAGCTCTGTAAAATGGTTTACAGTAGGCATCAGATCATCTTAAGAATAGAAGAATTTTCTGATACATTTTTAATACTTTTCTAACGTACTCATCCTTACAGAGATTTAAACCAGAGTTAACCGTGGTATTAACTTCACAGACTCACCTTCACAAGGCATTTCTTAATCTTATCTGGAAGAACATTATGCCACTCTGCTGAATAATATCATCTTCCTAGATGTAGCAGCTCATTTGGGAACAGTTTCTTCAAATCAAGATTCCTGCTCTTTCCAGTCAAGATCTAGACAGAAATAATGTTTAGATTTGAAGGAATACTTAGTGTATACTCGCAAAGGCCCCAAATTCTCTCTTATGATCTGACCCATTCACACTTTTCAAATGTTGTAAAGGGGACAGATAACTGGCAGTGTAACCTACCAGCATATTTCCCCATCTCACCCCGCCGAGGGCCTGCCCAGTTAGAGTAAAGCAGTGTAAGGGCTCTACAACAGTCCATTTATGGAGCCCCTGGGGCATGCTTAGGGGTGAGAAGTGTGTGAACAGAGCACTCTATGCTCCAGCCTTTACGGGCTGGCAGAATGACTTCTACAGGGATGTTAAAGCTAAAATAAGTTTGAGCTTTCTCTAGTGTTGTTCCCATTTGGGCTGCAGAGGCCCAAAATGTGGGAGGCAAAGCCACCTTTGCGCCAACCCCAGAGTTAGGTTTTAGAGGGGGACTTAAATGACAGTAGGGAGGGCATTTGGTAGACAAGAAGCAGGAAGTTGTTCCAAAAGTAGGGACAATGTGATAGCACAAAATTGGGAATGGTAGGAAACAGGAAAAGGAAACAGCAAGGAAAAAGATTGAAAGCAGGATAGGGAATTATGGGAGTGACATGGAGTTTAAAACTAGAGCAGAAATATAGATGGGACAAAATTTTTAGGGCTTTGAAGGCAAAGGTGAAGTTTTTGAACTTGATTCAAGAAGCAGGTAGAAGGTTAGTATACAATAGTATGGTAAAAGTGGTATAAACACCTAGATAAATAAGTTTGAAAGTACTGATCTGATTACAGTGAAAGTGGAGAGAAATCAAGAGATCATTTTAATAATGGCTAAACTGAGTAGACTGGAGTTGGAGAGGTACAAAGCTAGAAGGCCAGAGAGGAGAAACGTATGATATTCAGTACAAGATATGACCATGTTATGAGCAAGTGGGTAGTGAAGAAAACCAGATTTTGGTGATGGTATTAAAAAGGAAGTAACAAAGGTTAGCAAGAGACTAGATGTGGAAGGAGGAAGAGAGAACTCAAAGATGATACTGAGCTTGTGAGCCTGGGGGGAAGGAGCAGCAAAGAGCGCTCAGGATGGAGCGCTCAGTTTTTGAGAGAATAAATTTGAGATGGCATCAGGCCATCCAAGAGGAGGTATCTGAGAAGCACTGGAGATGCAAGACTCAGTAGCTGGCGTTGGAAGTTATCTGCATAAAGGTGAGAGATGAAACCGTGGTAGCTGATGGGGTCACCAAGAGAGACAATAAGATGATCTAAAAAGGTCTTTTCTTTTCTAGTTTCTATGAATCAAATTTCCATGGTTTTATTGTAGGAGTGTCTAATTATATAATTGAAGAAGAAGAATACTCAGAAAATTAAAATGTAAGCTTCAATAGTAGGCTACTTATAGTAGATGTAGAATCTGTTCACTACATGGATATTGGAAGGAAGGTTACATAGAATGTATACAGTTTTTTTTAATTCTGCATCATCTATTTGGAATTCTAAGTAATAATGACGTAAAACTGCAGTACTATACAATTTTAGTGTCTTATATGAGGCTTTAGCCATGCCACCCTCATTTACATTAGTAATGGGATGTGGTTAAATTCCTCTATATTGAGTGGAAAATATACCTCTGAATATCAATAAATTCATAACTTGGTAATAATGAAAACAGATAACACAGTGTCACATAACCTCAGATAGAAAGGGTGGAACAATCTAAACCTTACTTCTAGAAACAAAGGAAGGATGCCAGTATTGTCTGCAATAAAAAACATTGTGTTGTTTTCCAGGACCAAAACCACTTTGGCAGATGCTGTCAGCAGAATCCCTGTTTTCTATCTCATTAAATCACAAGATTGCATAATAAATATTCAGAAAAAAGAACAATCAGTCACATCAACAATAAATAAGTTTGACATTGGAGAACAAAACGATAACCACATTCCAAATGCAGAGGCTTAGATATGGTTATTGAGAAGTGGTAGGACTGCTATATTATTTATGTCTAGATACTGTAATTCCTATTTCCTGAAGAGATTTACATCTATACAGAATCCACTCTGTATTATAATACCCAATTGGCCAAGATGATACTGGTTTAATTTTTTTTTTTTAATTTAATTTTGCCCCAGTCTCTCTTCATTATGAAAGATGGAACTTTTTTCCTGGACAAATACCAGGATCTCAGTAATTTTTTCCTTTTAAAAAATAGTTTATATGGGAATATGTGTAATTAATTAGGTATCAGGGGGTAGCCGTGTTAGTCTGTATCCACAAAAACAACAAGGAGTCCGGTGGCACCTTAAAGACTAACAAATTTATTTAAGGTGCCACCAGACTCCTTGGTTTTGTAATTAATTAATTAATTAATTCATAAAGAGTTATGTGCCATAGCTTTGCAGATTGTTTTGCAGTTATTAAAAAGACAAGATTTCTGCCTTTTATTCTACAGTCTTGAAGCCTTAATATTACATCTATAATGCAAGAGATGTCCTGCTCTTCAGGTGAATTCCATTGAATAACAGTGAGTTCCTGTAAAAGAGAGACACTCTGCCAGACAGGTAGATTTTTGTTAGGCTTCATCAGACAAACATAGACAATGAAGATAGCAAAAGACAAAAGTTACAACAAAGAGAGATAATCAGGGTTATTTTATAATGTGAATGGATCTTTGTAAATTTTGTTTATTTTTAAATAAGAACAAATTAGGCGAAACGTATAGGTAGCACTGGAGTGGAAGTAGCATTCAGAATGTGTTGTCTGAACAAATGAATAATGTGACAAAGGGAAAGACTTCCATTTCCATTTGCCAGAATGACTTTAACTACAGAGATTTGTTGTTTTTATATTTAATTACAAAAAGAAAAGGTCAAGTGAACATGCCTTTTACTTATTATTGGAACTATTCTAGAAATCAAACCAAAATGCTTAAATTGTTTAGGGCCATTATTTCAGCTTTTCATACAGATATGGAGAGAAAGAAGAGGGAGAACTACAGAAAATTACACAAATATTTTAAACATTTTTAACCACTGACATCTTGAAAATTTAAATTTCTTTTTTAGAAAATGGAGTAAAATGGTGCAAGGAAGGTGAAAGAATGTAGGCCTTGTCATCAGTACAGTCTTCTCATTGTCCTAAATATGTATTTTTGGCAACAATTCATCTTGAAATATATTTTTCTATCCATGCAATCTTTGGTAACACTTTGATGGATTTACAATACATATCTGCACGTAGGGAACAGAGATGGTAATAGAAACTGGTTACTTAAAATTTCCCCTTTTTTAATTAGAATTTATTGGTATAATATTCCCTTTTTGCTTTCCTTCATGGTATTCTTGACATATTAGTGAGTACTAGGGAAAATTGAGACTTATATGAACGAACACAGATTCCCTTTTCAACAGGAGCATATTAAATCCTCTTCACCGTTACTTCCAGTAGAGGCTAGTAATATTTGCCAAGGTTACCGTATGGAATAACCCTATGTTTTTCTGTTTTTATTTTGTTTAAACTATATTTTAATATAATGACTGTTTTTAGGTGAAAAACCATTTCGCTGTGATGAATGTGGTATGAGGTTCATACAGAAGTATCATATGGAAAGGCACAAGAGAACTCATAGTGGGGAGAAGCCTTACCAGTGTGAATATTGTTTGCAGGTAAGATGGTTAATTGAAATAATTCACATCGTTTTAAAAACTGAAATAACAAACCTGATTCTAAAGTAATACACATAAGAATTTCTCTAAATTTTGAAGTCTCACAAGCCTACAAATCAATGTAGAAAAAATTATACTGATGCAAACTGAATGTATGTTGTAGGGCAGCCTTCAGTTGAAGTGGCCTGAACTGTGTGTGAATTAATGAGTAAATTACTTACAATCAAAGATGGCTTTTCTTATTTATATATTTTTCTCTAACTTAAAATATCCTCTACAGTACTTTTCCAGGACTGACCGTGTGCTGAAACATAAACGTATGTGCCATGAGAGCCGTGACAAGAAACCTAATAGAAGTGCCACCAAAGTTGGCCTTTTGACATCTGAGGAAGATCCTGGCTTCTCTACACCGATGAAAGACAGCTCCTTGCCAAAGAAGAAAAGGCAGAAAACAGAGAAAGCAAAGTCTGTGGACAAGGAAATTGGAGATAAATCAGAACAGAAGAAGGATAAAAATGACTACTTGCCTTTGTACTCTGCCAGTGCTAAAGTAAAGGATGAATATATGGTGGCAGAATATGCTGTTGAGATGCCACATTCTTCTGTCAGTGGGTCACATTTAGAAGATGCAAATTCTGGAGAAATACACCCACCTAAACTGGTTCTCAAAAAAGTTACTAGTAAGAGAAGTCTAAAACAGCCACTTGAGCAAAGTCAGACCATTTCACCTTTATCTACATATGAAGAGAACAAGGTTTCAAAGTATGCCTTTGATCTTGTGGATAAACAAGGTTTATTGGACGCAGATGGTAATGCTGACATTGACCAAGTTGATACTTTACAGGAAGGACCCAGTAAACCTGTACACAGCAGCACTAATTATGATGACGCAATGCAGTTTTTAAAGAAAAAGAGGTATCTGCAAGCGGCTAGTAATAATAGTAGAGAATATGCCCTGAATGTAGGTACTATAGCATCTCAACCTTCAGTAACACAGGCAGCTGTAGCAAGTGTCATTGATGAAAGTACCACAGCATCCATATTAGATTCACAGGCACTGAATGTGGAAATTAAAAGTAACCATGACAAAAATGTCATCCCAGATGAGGTGCTTCAAACCCTACTAGATCATTATTCCCACAAGGCTAATGGACAACATGAAATATCTTTCAATGTGACGGATACTGAGGTGACCTCCAGTATATCAATCAATTCTTCTGAAGTATCTGAGGTCACCCAGTCTGAAACTGTTGGAACAAGCTCTCAAGCTTCCTCATCAGATAAAGCCAGTATGTTACAAGAATATTCAAAGTTTCTACAACAAGCGTTGGACAGAACTAGCCAAAATGATGCCTATTTGAACAACCCAAGCCTTAATTTTGTGACTGATAACCAGACTCTTACAAGCCAGCCATCATTCTCTTCCATAGACAAACAGGTCTATGCTTCTATACCTGTCAATAGCTTTCGATCGGGAATGAACTCTCCATTAAGAACAACTCCAGACAAGTCTCATTTTGGACTAATGGTTGCTGATTCCCAGCACTCTTTTCCCTTTTCAGGTGATGAGGCAAATCATTCTTCCTCCTCCTCTACACAGGACTTCTTGGATCAAGTGACTTCTCAGAAGAAAGCAGAGGCACAGCCTGTCCATCAGGCTTATCAAATGAGCTCCTTTGAGCAGCCATTCAGAGCTCAATACCATGGAGCAAGAGCTGGAATATCACCTCAGTTTAGCACTGCCAACGGACAGGTGAACCTGCGAGGGCCAGGGACAAGTGCTGAATTCCCTGAATTTCCCTTGGTGAATGTAAATGATAATAGAGCTGGGATGACTTCTTCACCTGATGCCACAACGGGCCAGACTTTTGGCTAAGAAAATCTTTGTAAATAATATTGGCACTTTAGAACAGATCTGTCAAGAGTGGTGTTGCTCTGTATAAGATGGAGTGCTGTACAGCTTTTAAGAACGTTGTGTTATAACAAAAGTAAGCTGATATAGCAAGATCAATAACTTCATTTTTGGTTAGTCCACCAGTCATTGAGCTGCCTTACATGTTGTCTCCCCATAAAAGGCAGTTTATTACTCATCTGTTCGAGACCAGAAACTTGCTCTTTTACATACACTTAAATTTAAAACAAAACAAAAAACCCCAGGTAAGGTTTCCTCCCATAATAGCTTCCTATTTGGTTCATTGTACGTTCTTGGGAGAACAGTAATTGTCATATTGTCATTTTCTAAGCTTGTCAGTGTAGTCATTGCTCTTCAGTAGGGAACCTAAATATAGTAAACAGAATAAACTAAAAGTTTAAATGTCAAGCGATTATGGCTAAACCACATTGGTGTATTCTATAGAAATACCCTTTCTTCCCTCTTTCTTAAAATGAAGTATTTGCCATATGCCCTTTATTTTTGCTTTGCATTACACTGAGCTGTGTTTTGGAGGAAAAAAGTAATAATAAATTCTGACAGACTAACTCCATTATTTAAAAGTCTAATTAATTTAAAATACTTTAAAAACTTTTTTAGCAAAATACATGTCTGCTAATGCATTTACTTCAGTCCTGAAGTGTGTTGCATATTTCTTTGTACAGTTGAACCTAGACATAATTTTTTATGATTCTTTCACATGCAGATATCAAGATTTTGAAGTTTTAGTTAAAATACTCTGTAGATTACATTCCCGATTACATAAAGCTTACACAAATTGTGTATTCCAAGATTTTAAAGCTTAATTGTACTTTACCCTGCATATTCACAGTGATTAACAAAGAGCACTTAGATTCTATTTGATATTTTTTGATTTCTCAAAGAATAAAAACTATTTTAGATTTTTAGGTCTGATATGGCTGCATCATTATCATCTCATACAACACTGATTAATATTTTTAATATAAAATGAGATTGGAATTTCTTAGCTTCTGTAAAAACTGGTTTAATTTTCTCGATCTAGAACTTGGACAATTCAGATAATTAAACATACTAAAGCATCCCAATAAGCTGAAGAAGTGGGCCTTCTAATTGCATATCTTTTTAGCGATTTCTTAATGAACAATGTTCATTACAATTTTACCAACCAAAACTGTTGACTAATGCCAGTGAACAGAATTTTTTTTCAGTATAGATGAATGATCAGAAGCTTTTGTTGCATTTCACAGTATAAATAAACTGCAAACTTTATCCCTGTACCATGAATATGTTTTTTTAATAGTACTTTGGCTTGAAGTATACAGTAAGGTACGATAAATAGTTCTGTGTGCATTTTTAAGGTGGTGAAATTGGAATAACATAAATGTGTTGTATAGTTTAAGTTAACAATTTAAAATTTTTGAACTTTATGTTCATTCTTTTGCACCTTTCCCTAGAGGATACACGGTCAGGTAGTTTAAGGCAGTTTAAACCTAATATTGTAGGTTGATTAACCATTAAGTGGGGATACAGATAAGGATGCATACATCCCTTTACAGCACTGTAAACATCTGACATCTCTCAAATGAAACCATCAGCTCGGAGAGGAGGTTGAGCCCCATCGTACTGAAGAACACCCTCCCCCGCCAGCAGACTCGAGAAGTGGGAGAGTGCAACTTACCCATTCCCAAAATACTAACCACATATTATTGTTTTGCATCATCGTAGCTGCAGTAACTCCCTTGGGCCCATTTTAGGAAGAAAGTTCATCTGGAATCCATAGACTGCACCTCAAGTGGTCTGGGAGATCGTTTACATGAGCTTCCTGCATAACTCATTTGTATACAGTAAGACCAGATTCTTATTGCCCTGTGATGGCCTTAACTATTCTTAGGATTCATTGGCCCAATGTGCAGCTGTTTTATGATGCTGCAAGGGGTTATATACCCTACCACTTTCTTACAGTAACAGGTCTGAAGATTTGGCCCTGAGTTAAGTAGAAAAATAAACATCAAGAGAGAAAAGCGAAATCATTGTACAATATTAGTGACACATAAGGAAACATCTTTAAAAGAATATTTTTAACCTGGTTGTGTCCCTTGAATTTTTTCTACATTATTGTTTTAGTCTCCTGTCCTACTTGCATAGACATACACACGTGTATGGCACCTAACTCACAACAAGAAACAGCCTATCATGAAGCAGATATCTCATTTCCATTAAATATTACTTCCGTCACATCCTAGCTTTCACTGTCCCCTTAGATCTACATCGGCATCTTTGGTTTAATATCCCACCATTGCAAATATATGTCCATTTAGTTACCATTGTTTTAAGAAAATTCCCTTGGGGCTAGATTATTACAGCACTTAGTTGGACACACAGGGAAATAAGAGGGAGTAAGGCCTACTCGGTCCTTGCCAGATTGATGACTGGCTATGTTGGAGAGGGCAGGGGCTACTCTGCTGATACTCTGTTGTGAGAAAGTGGCTGGGGGGGGGGGGGAGAAAACCTTGGCTCCACTCTCTCTGCACACTAGCCAGAATAGTTAACTTTGTGTATAGTGGTGAGTAAGGTGTTTCACACAAAGGGTGAAATAACTTGCTTCTCCCCAGAGGAGGAATTGTGGTTCTCTGAGTCACAGTTCATTCTCTGGTGTGTTCCTGGGGTATTATAGCTGTGCTCTGTGACGTAGAGATGTAAAGTCCCTACTCTGTCCCATGGTGATTATTTTGTAGATTTACTTTATACATATAGATAGAGACAGTACTAGTAGTTAATCCGTGGAAACTTAGGCTTTTTCTACCTGGAGAAATTTACCAGCAGAATTCTTCCAATATGATTTTGTTGCTGTAGTTATACCAGTATTGTTCTGCCAGTAAATTTCCCTCTCTAAATAAGCCTGTATTTTTAACAAGTTCATCATTTAAAAAAATATTTTTCCCTTCAACATGTTTTATTGTTTTACATCCTAACACACACACACACACACACATGTACGTGCTTCCCCCCTTTTGATCTGGCAGATGTTTATTCTCATCTGGGCCCCCTATGTATTTGAAAGAACTAAAAATGAAAATGACTTTTTCTTCGCTACATTGTTCATGTACCAGCATTATTAAGCCATTGGGAATAGCATTTATATCCCAGCAAGCCAACAGTAGAAGCTCTTACATTATTTTAGAAGTTGTGAAAGGTGTGGATGTGTGCACGTGTAAGGTGGAATCTTTTATGGTTGTTTTTTCTGTGACAGAGTAAGGATAAATGAAAAACATATATTTAGAAAATTTAGGGCATTTACTCCCAGACTATAATAATTTTAAATAGATAGTATTTTGGGCCTAAATTACTTGACAGTGTCCCTTTGAGCACTAGTCCTTTGTTATGTTTTACCACAATTATAACTAATAATGAAGGAGTTGGCTTGCAATTATAACTAATAATGAAGGAATTGGCTTGCAATGGTATATTAGTAAGCATCTACATTTTCTTGTACTGGTTTGAGAGTGAGTTAATCATAAATGATAAAGTTTGAAGAGGAGGATAGAATTGTGTACTACTATACACTGGTCTTATAAACAGTAATATGAAGAATTTAAATCAGACTTTAAAATGAAATTTTTCATGGTCCTGTGTGTTTCCTGGTGTTGCCTATGGGAAAATTATGGTGCAAGAAGAAAATACAACAACCCCTAAAATACTCATGGTTGTTTAACATTTTTATTACTTTTTATATTTATATTGTAGGTTGTCAATGTTTTGGAGAAAGGGAGCAGTTTAGTGATAAAGGGGAAATACAATTAAAATCTTTCTAATTCACTGATTGCTAATTAAAGCACCCCCTAATTCTTACACATACAATCTGCTTTCTCCCGACTCTGCAAAGTATTAATAGTAAAGTACTGTAGTGAAGTCTCACTTTAATAAGTCTGTTACTTCAACCAAGTATACTACAGAACATTTATTAGTATTCTCTGAAGTAGTATAACGGAAACTAACTACAGTTGTCGCAATAAATGAACGAAGTACATTTTGTGATGTGATAGTCTTGCCTTTGTTTGCTTGCTTACTTGCTACTTCTCAAAATTCAGTCATTTGTAATGGTTTTCCAAGTCATTACCGTGCATTAATGGGGTTCTACTGTGGCTTTTTCAAAAATGTTTGGTTTTTCCCTCTGAAAATCTGGATATAAACAATATATTCTGTGCTTGTTTTGATTATTTTTAAGTTAGCCTCATGTGCAGCAAAAAGTTGAAAATGACCCAAATAATCTACTTTGAATTTTGCAGTATTGCATTATTCTGTGTATGTAAATTTGCAAACTGAATTTTCTTGTTAGTTTTTTTTTTTTTAAATTAACTTCATTACAAATTGCAGGGAAATTCCTAATATTCCTGGAATACATTTGGAAACTTTAGCAGGGAGACATATGCTTGTGCTATGGTTACTTGAGCTGGTACCAATACACATGAGGACTTTCAAATTATGTGGTTAATACTGAGGCAAAATAATAATTTTATGCTTTATTAGTGTTAAAAGTTCTACTAAATGGAAGCCTTGTAATTTTGAAAGTTCATTCATTTTATGTTGGTGCATGTTTATGTTAAGCATGTAACACATTAAACTAGAATTCACTTTTTCAAAGAACTTGTATTAAGAAAGTATTACTGTTAATGAAAAACACCTTTAAGTTTAAATTTGAACTTTTGTTCAGTTTTAAATTGCTTTAAGTCAGGGAAATAAATTTTATAGTTGCTTTTGTCTCTGCATATAAAAACCTTATGTTTCCTTTTAAAAACTATTTCTTTTCTTAGGATACACAAATTGAGGCGAGCAAACATTTCTAAGAGTTGTTTCTTGCTTTCCTTAATCCAATGGATGGAAAGGTAAAATTGTGTAAACGACATTATTTTATTTTTTTATGCAATATCTTGCTGTAAATATGATTTATCAAATAAGGATGTACCTATGATTGAATCTTTGATCTGCACAGTTAGAGTTTATATATAAATATAAATGTGTCTTGACAATCAAGGACTTATGTCAGTCTTCCTTTATGATGTTTATTATTGTTATGCATTCCATTTGTTTGAATTGAGTACCAGTGTGGAAATCTGTATTGTCTGTAAAGTATGTAATGTTTTTATAGCTTGTTTTAAAAAAAAACAACACAAAAATGCTGTAAATATATACAAACTGATCACAGTACTGCTTTATGTTAGAAGGCATATGATGTTGTACTGTATGTAAGCAATAATACATGACAGTGCTAACTTTACAAGTAGCATAAGGATAGTTCCAAAAATAGTTTTGGAGTTAAATAGCCTTGTTTGAGTTAATCAATATTCTTAATCATTTTTTATAAATAAATTCAACTGTCCTCCTGTTGGAGTATATAACATTGTTTACACAGCACAATTTCAGTCACAGAGGAGACAGGCTTTAGATTTATGACTTCGTCTGTACACGCTTTCAGTAAGAAATGAATGGCTTTACTGCACTTCTGCGAGATGAGGAAGACTGCAAAAGTTTAGTTTTAAAGGAAGAGAGATACTTTTCTGCTTCTGTGCTGATTCCTGACAATTCTTGTATTTTAATTCAGAGTCCTTAAGTCCTGATACTGACCTGATGTGACTTGGGGCTCCAATATAAAGGAATAGTTCTCTTCATAATTCATATACAGTTAAATAGTGACTCTACAAGTTGTACGTTCATTTTAGTGCTTATTTTTTAAGTATGAGTTATCCTCAACTGATGAAATGGGTTTATTCAGTTATTAAGGTGTCAAACTTACTATAGTTTGAACTGACTAGGTATTGGATGGTAGAGTGTGGCATAGCTATTTGAACACAGTCATCACTGCTTTAGAAAAAACACAGATTTATAAATGTAAATGACCTACATTTTATAAGAGAAATGTTTTTAAATGCTAGTCAGTTATATAATATGTGCTTTGAAGGATTTGCTAGTCCACTTCTGTCACTTTTAGTACACTGGTATCTTTTATATGTAATGTATGCTTTTTATTATTGTAGCAAAACCGTTTCAGTAGAAGGAATTTTGCAACAGTATGGAGGGAATTTTCATTGTCAGAAATGAATTATACTGGATTTTGTCTGTGTACTCTTGTCTTTATTTTAATGCTGTCTGGAAGGGAACTTCGTATCCAAATAAAGCAGGTGACCTTTTATTTCAAAGGCATACTATGTAGTGCTAAATTGAGTCTGGAAATATGATGATTTTGAATACATATATGTGTGTGTATATATATATATGTATATATATATATATATATATGTATGTGTATATATATATATGTATAGTGGAACACTGTTACAGTGCATTTTCTGATATAGTGTTATTTTCCTCAAGTCCATATGCCTTCTTTGTATTTCAACTAATAAAAAAAGACCAACACCCTATAGTTAAGTTTTTGGCAGGATAATAGGTTTATTTCAGTGGTAATACAGTATTCTTTTAACCTATACCATCCGTTCTGTCCATTTTACTGTTTGAGTAAAAATAAAAAAAAATCAAAACTCAAGTTCCATCTGTAAAAGAATGTATATAAGTAATAGATGGTTTTATATAAACCTGAAAAGTATGAATTTGTATATTCCTTATGTTTCTGATAGAAATTAGGAGATGAGTCTTAGTTCCTGTGAAATCAGGGATTTCATGACAAAGGGGTGTGTGCGTGTGAGAGTGTATGTGAGAGAGAGAGAGAGAGTTGTCAAAACAAGTATAAAAGGGTTATTTCATTTCAAAGCAGTCTCTAAGCATTTGAATTTAATAATCCATTCAGAAAGGTGAAAAATATTTTGCAGGGAGGTTATTTAACCAGAATTGTTTCGTTCTTAGTGTTTGATCTTGCTCCCATTCAAGTTAATGGGAGTTTTGTTTACTTGAGTGGGAATTTAAAAAAAGAAATGTGCATTGTGTTACTCTAAAATCAAAAGAATAAAACTACTTGATTAGCAGGCTTGGCCAAATGAATTTTTTCATTAACAATACATTTTAAAAGATCGTTTTTCTGCCTTTATTTCTCTTTTAAAAACAATTTTTAAATACTTTGGAAGTTGCTATTCCTATTCATTTGACTGTGATTGTAAATTAAATTTTGCTTGACAAAATATGGCATGAACGATTGGATTGTTGTGCCTGTATAATACAGTGGAAGATGGGTTTTATGCATAGTCATAGTGAATGATATTGTATTCTTAGAATTGATTTATTCATTAAGTGGCTTAATGGGTTTCATTGCTTCTGACATTACTGTTTTCTTATGGTTAACTTAGCCATTTTGGGATTATAATACCCTTTTATGTATTGTGATACTAAAGGAAATTACGTTATTTGCTTTCATTTTTAATTAATCTATTAGTTTGATAATTTATATTTGCAAATGATGCATTTTAAATGTGGTCACTGGCTGTTTGAAAAATAAAAGTATAGAATACTGTTTTATGAATTAAACTGTTTAGCAGTATTTTTCATGTTAGTTGATTTAAGACAAAATTTGATCTCTTAACATGGCAGCAAAGGGTAGGTCTATACTTACCTCTGGGTCCGGCGGTAAGCAATCGATCTTCTGGGATCGATTTATCGCGTCTTGTCTAGATGCGATAAATCGATCCCGGAAGTGCTCGCCGTCGACGCTGGTACTCCTGCTCCGCGAGAGGAGTACGCGGAGTCGACGGGGGAGCCTGCCTGCCGCGTCTGGACCCGCGGTAAGTTCGAACTAAGGTACTTCGACTTCAGCTACGTTATTCACGTAGCTGAAGTTGCGTATCTTAGTTCGAAGTGGGGGGTTAGTGTGGACCAGGCCAAAGGTATGTAGAAATATATCAAGTATGCCAGAAATGATGTGGATAATTTTAACAAGGGAAATATTTAAATATTTGGTTCTGGGGTACAGCACATTTTCATAGGGCTTATTTCCAGTTTTCCCCTCTTATAGATTTGGAATATTATTACCCCACTTGATACTAATTTTAATTCAGAAATTGTGAGTTGATTGCATGACTATAGAGTAGGCTCACAAAAGATAAGTGAGACAGATTCGTATGCACACAAATGGCCCTTTGCACCACCACGGCACTGTACAGAGGCCATAGTCTAAATGAGAATCAGGCCTTAGTACGTTTAACTGCACATGTCAGAAATGTGAATTTTAATATTGCTTTGAATATATTGGATGAAAAATGCACCGTGTGTAATATATAATTTAATAGAGCATATTCTTCCTGCATTGAAGCAGAATCCATAAGAAGAATTGCAAATCATAGCATTGCGCATTTATAAGGAAGAATAAATCTTGTGATCAAAAATAAAAGCAAGACCTAGTGACATTATTTTACTGAAATGTTTTAGTATTGATGATTTAGGTATATAATTAAGACCATTTCCAGTAACAAAATCATTTTGAGAAATGTGTAGATCTGTTGATTGGAAATCTGTTTGACTTTGCATACGAAGTAGACTGGATAGCAATATCGCAGTATATGTAAAGATGACACACAAAGTCATGTAAACTCTGAGTTAAAGCTAGTATGACTCTCCTTACTCCACTCCTTTTTAGTCTGTGTACTGCTGTGCACATTGTTTTCAGTCAGTGCACCATTACATGGTTGTGCAAGCAACGAGAAACATGCATCCCATAAATACGGGTTGAGTACACTATACATATAAATATAGTGCATCACTTCTGTTATGATTTTACTGAAATGTACACATATAGCATTGAAAAGAAAACAATGTATAAAGAGCCACACAAGATATGTAAACATGATTGCAGTCATAATTTTAAAAATGTGTAAAACGAATCTTAGACTGTGGGCGTACTTTGAAATATGACTGAGAAAGTTGCACCTCCTTATTCAGCAGATCTGTTTTCTGTATTCAATTTTCTTACTTTAGTGATATTTATTTTTAGTTATTTTTTTAGTTAATGGAAACAAGGCAACATTTAAATCTGAACTTGGTAGCCTAAGACTGTTGGCTTTCATGCTTTAAATGTAACATTGTCTAATGGTGTAGATCTGTGATCTTGAAAATAGGGACATTTGTCAATAATTTGATGTAATATATATTTATCTACCCCAGTTTTCTTTTAAAAGTAGCAATTGTTGCAAACCAAGCTGGAATACAAATATCCCCTAATTCTTCACTGAGCTAATATTATTGCAAAGAGAATAACACATTAAGCTATCTTTAATATTTGCTACGGTTATCATACAGAGAAGTGTAATCATCTTGCTCTTAATATGACTTCCTTAACAGCCTGTCCTATCAGAATTGGTGCTCCTTGTGTTTAGAGGGTTACAATCCCTGTCCCTTTAACTTGGAATTTTCCTTTTACTTCATGTGATAAACCATACTGAAGCTCTACTCAGTGATCTACTCACATAAGTGGAGGCTGGTTATTACCAAAGTCTGGAAAAGACTTAATACTGATCTCATCCATTACCCTCACTAAGCCAATGGAGGATTGTTTCCTACAGTAACTAGTGTGATGTTTTGTCTAATCTGTTTCTCAAGACATGGAGTTAAACAAGTGCAAGTCTTTCATTGGGAACCAACAATTTTTTGAGAGGGACTGAAAATGGAACAGGTACGTGTTTTCCTTTCAGAAGTTGGTGAAGCCAGCAACACTGGAATGGTCTTTCAGGTAAGTGGCCTCTTCCTGTATGCCTCCTTTCTACTTCCACTGCAGGGCTCTCCTTCAAGTTCACATGCTCTATCACAGCATCCAACCCATGCTTTAAATTATTAAACCTGTCAGATGTGTGCATATGAAACCCACTTCTGTTGATCATTGGCAGGAATTAAATATGATGGTTTGGTAAGATGTCACATGGTAAATCCAGTCTTGAGAATTCTACTCATCCACTTGCCCGGTTTGAGCACAATTTTTTGACAGGCAAGTAAAATGTAATACTTTAAAATTATAATTGTGGTAAAGACCAGGTGAGTGTAGGTTTTGTCCCTGGGCTGGTGAATTTTCATGATAGTTTTGCAAAGGTGTTAATCCTGTTCTGTTCCTTTAGCAGCTTTACTCCAAAAAGCAGAATTCTTCCACTCATTATGACTACTGGCATAGTGGCTCTCCCTGGCTGACAGAGGAACATACCTGTCAGCTAAGGAATCAAAAAGGGGACATATGAAATACCTGAAAATTGGATTGCCATCAACTCCCCCCCCTTCCTATGATAGTTGAGTTATACTTAGTATTTTAATACCTAGCTCTTATGTAGCATTTTTCATTGGTGATTTCAAACAACTTTACAAAGAAGGTCAGTTTTACTATTCCACTTTATAGATGGCGAAACCAAGACGCTGAGCTGGGAATAGAACCCACGTCTCCCAAGTTGCTGAGGATCTTGG